ACGTGAACATCGGGGGCGACTTCGACGCGACCACGGGGCAGTTCCGCTGCCGCGTGCCGGGCGCCTACTTCTTCTCCTTCACGGCCGGCAAGGCCCCGCACAAGAGCCTGTCGGTGATGCTGGTGCGCAACCGCGACGAGGTGCAGGCGCTGGCCTTCGACGAGCAACGGCGACCCGGGTCGCGGCGCGCCGCCAGCCAGAGCGCCATGCTGCAGCTCGACTACGGCGACACGGTGTGGCTGCGGCTGCACGGCTCGCCGCAGTACGCGCTGGGCGCGCCGGGCGCCACCTTCAGCGGCTACCTGGTGTATGCCGACGCCGACGCCGACACGGCGCCTGCGCACGGGCCGCGCGCACGCCCGGAGCCGCGCTCGGCTTTCTCGGCGGCGCGCACGCGCAGTCTGGTGGGTTCCGACGCGGGCTCCGGGCCTCGCCACCGGCCGCTCGCCTTCGACACCGAGCTCGTCAACATCGGCGGCGACTTCGACGCCACCGCCGGCGTGTTCCGCTGTCGCCTGCCCGGCGCCTACTTCTTCTCCTTCACCCTGGGCAAACTGCCCCGCAAGACGCTGTCGGTGAAGCTCATGAAGAACCGCGACGAGGTGCAGGCCATGATCTACGACGACGGCGCGTCGCGGCGCCGCGAGATGCAGAGCCAGAGCGTGATGCTGCCGCTGCGGCGCGGCGACGCCGTCTGGCTGCTCAGCCACGACCACGACGGCTACGGCGCCTACAGCAACCACGGCAAGTACATCACCTTCTCCGGCTTCCTGGTGTACCCCGATCTCGCTCCCGCCGGCCCGCCGGAGCTCTGAACCCCGGGCGGCAGAGGAGCCCGGGCGGGCCCCGGGGCGTGCATGCCGAGCCGGGACCGCGGCCCGAGCGCCCCGCCGGCGCCTGCCCGCCGGCCGGCCCAGGGCGGCTAGACTCTGCCAATAAAGTGGGCCTGTGCCGGTCAGCCCGACGGTCCCCTTGTCTTGACTGCGACGCCATCGCCCGCGGGTTGGCAGCCTCAGGGCCTCTCTCCTCCCCCGTGGGGGTCTCCCCTGTCCAGGGCATCCTTGAATCTGAGTTCCCCATTGGCCTATGTATGAGCTTACTCTCAGAGCCCAGGCGATCCTTTTCTATAGCAAGATTCTTCATCACACTACCATACTCGGGGCACAGGACTCGGGCAAAGGGCATGGTCCTTCTGGGTGAATGTGGAAAGGGGATGAGGGGTGGATGCCTGGTTGACTGCCTAGTGGTCTTATTCTGACACGGAAGGAAGGACACACTCAGAAAGCCAGAATGGAGCTTTTTATGGGAAGAGCGATACATAATCAGTTATACTTATCCCGGCCTGCTTCAGCTAGTCTGTGGGTGGGTGGGTCCTCTCCTAGCCTAACTCTTTCCTCTGAAACTGACTGAGATGGAACTGAAGACATTTTTTGGCTTCTCTCTCCCCAAAAAGGTAATGTGCCTCCACTTGTTTGTCTCCACTCCTCCAGTGAACAGAACCCAAGAAATCCATTCTACATTTGCAGCCCAAATGGAGAGCTCACAGATCTGGGACCCCAGATGCTTGGTCAGGCTTGAAATGAGTACATTAGGATTGCAGTCCAAACATACATTTCTTTGTATTGCATAGGATGGACTTAGAGGCTGACTTCCACTTAATTTGCCTCAGCTTCTCTTTAATTTTCCTTGAGATACATTTCTCAATCCTGACCCCTGGAGCACACAACACACTAGTCTGCAAGTTTTGCCCTTTGCTCTGTTGCCTATTCCCAGTCTCTCACTCTTATCCTATTAAGGTTCAGGGAACAAAGAGGGTAGGGATAAAAATGGGTAGGAAAGATACAATAAACCAAGCCCAGTTATCGAAGTACGTCTCCATTTGGAGACCTCCATTTGTCTTCAGTTCCATCTCCAAATGGAGACCTACTTCTCAATATGAGTCAGGCGCAGGTTGAAAGGGTGGAGATGGGGGGGGGGGGGGTGATAGCAGGAGAAAGGGGAAGGGTACAAGGATGGAAAGTCAAGGCCACACTGAAGGGAACTGACCCTTGCAGAAGCCCTTGCACAGGTCCCAGAGTGTTTCCTGTGCCAGGTAGGTGAAGACCTGGACCCAGCGACCACTCTCTTCAGTTTCATTAGCTGCATGGACCCGGTAGATGCAGGACAGGGTGGTGAGGAGCAGATGTTCAAAGTCTCTAGGGCTAAGAGGATGCCCATTGTGCAGGTCCTGGAGCTGCTGCAGATGCTGCTCAGCACTTTCTAAGTCACTGGGCACATGGTCCCGCAGAAGGAGCCTGAGTCGGCGGCCTGGACGTGTGGACGCTAACTCTTCATCCTGGAGGCGCAGCTGCCCCATGACATCCAGCTCCAGCCCAGACCACAGCAGCTGCAAAAGGAGCCATTTAAGGGGTGGGCTGGAGTCTAGAGAGCAGGGCAGGCAGAAGAATGGACTTGGGGGTGGGCAGCATAAGCTAGGTTCCCCATGCTAGGTCCCCCCCCCCCCCCCCCCAGCAAGCCTGCTCTAAACCGTACCTCTTCCCATCCCTGAGCTTAGGGACCTCCAGACACCCCCGCCCTCATGTCCCAAGCTGGGAGGAAAGACCTCAAACATCACTTCCGGGTCCTCTGGCTCCTCCTGCAGGCCATCTCTCACACTTGCACTGTCTGTTGGCTGTCCTAGGCACCAAGCAGAACAGAATCAGATGCTTGCCACACTTCCCTCAACACCCTTTCCTGGGTCTACCAGTGCAGGAATGCCATCTTTTGCTCTCTCACCTGCCCATAAGTCCACATAAGCACACTGACATACACCCTCCCAGGCATGTGTCTTGTGATCCCAGAGTGTTACACTATCCCGTTACTATCTCAGTAAGTGTCCAAACTCCTCCTTTAATTTGTACATACCCTTGCCAACAGGTCATAAGACTCCTCACCTCCCTATAGTAATCTGGGGAGTGACCTAGAACAGTGCAATGACTCTTCAGAGGATAATTAACTCTAGGAAGGGTCTCCTCTTTCCTTGCTGCTGCTCAGCCATTGTGTAGACAGAATTAAACAGGGCAGAATGTCCTTTGTGTTTTTCTGTCTCATACCCTGAGGTGTTGCCTAGCCCTTGAATTAGTTATCTGAAGCCCCGGACAGGTCAAAGGACCCTGAGCCCAACCCTGTTTGGGGCCAGCTTTAACAGTACCTACAGCAATCTTAACAGGTTTCATTTATTCCTTTCCATTATGGGGTTGGGATCCTCATATTTACCCACTACAGCAGACATCAGGCTGGTACCCGCCAGACCTACAGTTCCTCAGCCCTTGTGAGGATTAGCTAACTGGTGTCAACCAGCAGCCTTCCTTGCTAATATCCATTCACTCTGAGTTCCTTTACCTGCATGGTGTTGTGTTGCAGTCACCCACAGGAGGAGATAAATGGTCGCCACCAGACAAACCAGGAACTGCAGTGTGCTGGCCATGCTGCACCACCTTCTCAAGTCTCTTCTCACTAGCCCTCTGCTCCTTTATCTGCCTGCTACACACCACAGCCACAGCTTTCCACTGCAGGCTACTCAGGAGTTCTGTTCTGACTGTCAGTCTCAGGGCTGAAGGGAAGTGCTGGCTGTGGCTTCCTTCACTTCCCAGGGGCTCTTCCCACCCTGGTTTTGGCAGTAGCAGCCTGTCCAGATGGGTGGGATATTTAATGAGAAAATGGGTGTTTGGTAGCAAACAGCTCTAGTTCGGCCCTTCCAAAGGGAACAATACTACCTGTCCTCATACTCAAAACATCCTGCTACAGAGGCCAGTCCCTGACATCGTCCAGCCCAGCCTCCAGGGAGCCCTTCAGCTGCCAAGAGCATCAGCTGCAAAGCATAGCCCCATACAAGGCAGAGCGAAGCAGTCCCACCTCAGGCACTCAGCCACAGGAGCGACTGCCGGATCAGCTGGGGTGGGGAGTATCAACAGCTCCTGGAAACTAGACAAATAGGCAGTTCCTCAGTATTTTTTGCTAATGTTCTTGACTCAGACCAGAAACCAGGAAGATTATCCCTTTAGCTAGTTTAGCTCGAGTCATGATATAGGGAGGACACAGGGTTAAAAACTCAAAAATGAGTGATGTATTTTTTTTTGTCAATGCAATTTTTATAGTTGGATGGATAGTTTTTCACAAAAGACAAAACTTAAGTAGTGCACATACTTTAAATGGTATGGGTATTGTGAGTGATGTATTCTTCCTGCCTTGATGTTGGCTCATTTTTCTTGTGAGTGTCCAGGTGGGAGAGTTGCATTGGTGCCACCCAAGCTTCTGGACCCAACGGCCATCAGTCAGTCTGTTGAGATGAGGGGCTTCCTCAACCAGTAGTGGAAATCCTCCGGTTCTCATTAGAGGCCATGCTATACCCATCCTGAACCCTGTGGTCTCTAAGAATCACAGCTCCAGAATTCCTCTCAAATATTTCTGGCCCACAGGTCATCTGCAGCTGCATTGTTTAGTTCCATTAAAACAGACCGTACGGGCAGTGGCTCATGCCTGTAATCCTAGCTACTCAGGAGGCTGAGATCTAAGGATCTCGGTTCAAAGCCAGCCCGGGGAAGGAAAGTCCATGAGACTTATCTCCAATAAACCACCCAAAAACCACAAGTGGTGCTGTGGCTCAAGCAGTAGAGCGCTCGCCTTGAGCTGAAGAGCTGAGAGACAGCACCCAAACCCAGAGTTCAAGCACCACAACCGACAAAAAAAAAAAAAAAAAAAAAACACTAGAAAACCGGAAGTGGCGCTGTGGCTCATGTAGTAGAGTGCACACCTTGAGCTGAAGAGCACAGGGACAGCAGCACCCAAGCCCAGACTTCAAGCCCTGGGACTGACCAAAAAAACCCCACAAAAACCAAAATCCAAACAAACAAAAAAACAGACCGTACTTTGGCAAGGTCTTTGCCAGAACAGGAAACACCTGTTTGCACCTACCTCCTCCTAAGTCACTGTTACTTGTACCCATTAGAAGAAACACACAGGAGTTTTACATAGGAATTTATTTACAAGGACACTCATAGATAAGGTGTACTCTTTAAGATCCACATGTCTTCCCTGGAGCTACTTGGCTTCAGGTTTCTTGACTCCAGCTTCAAGCTTGAGACTCTCAGGGGGCTGACGATAGGCAGGGAAGGCTTCCCAGGGGCTGTTCAGGTCAAATTTTCGGAACTCTTGAGCCAACTCCACTGGCTCGGCCACCACCCGCTTTACCTCATCATCATAGCGTAACTGCAAGAGGGAAAAGGAGGCTTGTAGCTACCAAGGCCACTTTCAGAAAGCCATCAGTGAGTCCCCCATCCCTTCTTTTTTTGTTGGTAGTATGGGCAAATAACTCAGAGCCTCAAGTCTCCTAGGCAGCCATATCACGAGTCAAGTCTCAAACAACTCCTCCCACCCTTTTTTTTGGTGCCAGTACTGGTGCTTGAGCACGGGACCCTGTGCTCGTGCTTGGCCTTTTCACTCAAGGCTGGTGTTTTACCACTTGAGTCATGCCTCCAGTTTGGCTTTTTTGCTGGTTAAATGGAGTTACAATCTCAATGACTTCTGTCTTTAAACCACAATCCTCCAGATCTCAGCCTCCTGAGTAGCTAGGATTATAGGCATAAGCCACCAGTACCTGGATTGAGCACTTTTAATAGGTCCAATGGCCAATGCTCCCTACCCTCCGTGCCCCCCCCCCCCCCAAAAAAAAAAACCAAAAAAAAAAGTCTGAAGCTGGACATTTGGCATGGCTGTTCTTGCTATTGGAGGGTCTCTGGACAAGATAAGGATAACCAGGTACTGAGTGAAGAGACAAGCCATGTAGGGAATGAGAGGCGGGGGATGTTTGGGTGAAAGGCAAAAGGAAGGAAGACACCTTAACCAGAAGTAGCTCTAAGGGAAACAGGACCATATAAAGCACTAAGTACACAGAACAGTGTTTCGGTACTGAAGCAGCAGGGCTGGAGTGCCACACATTTTCACCACCTGCTAAAGTTTCACGTGGCCTGTGCAGTACCTCACACCTATGACCCTACCTACTCAGGGGGCTGAGATTCGGGGATCCTAGTTTGGAGTCAGTCTAGGCAGACAAATCCATGAGACTCTTATCTCCAATGAGCCAGCAAAAATTTGGAAGTGGAGCACCAGCCTTAGGCAAAAAAATTCTAAGGGGCAATGTCAGGCCCTGAGTTCAAGCCCTGATGCCAGCACACTCACACACACACACACACACACAAACTCATATGTACAGTGCCACTGAAATTCTATAAGGTGCTTGTAATCCCATCACCGGTCCTGCTTTAATGACCATTATTGTGGGTTGAACATCTAGGATTCTAGATATCCGGAGCAGAACAAAATAACACCCTGCTTTCAGGACGTGGGGATAGATTGTGTCCTTAAGTCAGCCTTGTGCATTAAAGTGAGCAATACAATAATTATGAATACACCAAACTTTATTTATTTTTTGGGGGAACCCGGGGGTGGGGCCTGAACTCTGGGCCTGGGCGCTGTCCCTCAGCTCCTCAGCTCAAGGCTAGCGCTCTACCACTTGAGCCACGGCGCCATTTCCGGCTTTTTTCTTTTTGCTTATGTGATACTGAGGAATCAAACCCAGGGCCTCATGCATGCAAGGCAAGCGCTCTACCACTGAGTCACCTTCCCAGCCCCTACACCAAACTTTATGCATCTATCATTTTATGTTCAGCACTCATTTAGTGCTACTGTTGTTCTCACTATACACCTGAGTAAATGGAGTTCTAGTTGAGTAACGTGAATGCTATAGCCCAGATTCTTAAGCCATTACAGTCCACCAACCTTATTCCTACTATGCATAGGATTCCCCAGGTTCCCTGCAAGTCTCTCCCTAAGAATGCCACACCAGTCTCCAGACTCCTACCTCAACATAACCAGAGAGAGGAAAGTCTTTCCGAAAAGGATGTCCCTCGAAGCCATAATCTGTCAGGATCCTCCTTAGGTCAGGATGGTTAGCAAAGAAGACTCCAAACATGTCCCAGATCTATAAACACAATGTTCTCAGGCAACCAGGACAGCAAACCCAACAACAGAGATGAGTAGCCATACTGATTTTAACTATGGTTCAAACCAGTTCTGGCAACTCTGGCCCAGAGGCAGAGCCCACCATGTACAGTAACTCACCTCCCTCTCATACCAATTGGATGCCTTATACACAGAGACACTGGATTCTAGGGGTGTCAGCTCATCTGTATAAGTCTTCACACGAACCCGTGAGTTAAAGCGCAGAGATAACAGGTTGTAGACAATCTAGGGGGAACAGAAAGAGCTGGAGGAACCAGATGGTTCAAGTTTCAGGTTAACAATACAGCAAGATCCTATCTCAAAAAAGGGGGTGGGGAGACTGGGAATGTGGCTTAGTGGTAGAGTACTTGCCTAGCATGCATAAAGCCCTGGGTTCAATTCTTCAGTACCACAAAAACAGAAAAAGCCAGAAGTAGTGCTGTGGTTCAAGTGGTAGAGTACTAGCCCTGAGCAAAAGAAGCTCAGGAACAGTGTCCAGGCCCTGAATTCAAGCCCCAGGACTGGCACAAAAAAAAAAAAAAAAAAAAAATCAGGCCAGTAATCCTAGCTATTCAGAAGATCTGAGATCCAAGGATCATGAGTCAAAGCCAGCAGTGGGAGAAAAGTCTATGAGGCTCTTCTTTCTAATTAACTACCATAAAACCAGAACACTTAGTGCCCAAGGGCCCAAAGTGGTAGAGTGCTATCCTTGAGCAAAATGAGCTCAGGGACAGCATCCAGGCCCTGAGTTCAAGCCCCACAACCAAAAAAAGAAAAATAAAACAATGTTTGAGGTTATGCAGTCAGTTAACAACAGACCCAATATTCACCTTCAGTGTCTACTAAATGCTACAACCCTGGTTCAATTAATATGTTTTACTGTTTGACCTAAACTGAAACTGTAAGGAAGCAAGCTACAGTTCCCATAGATGGCTGTTACCTGAAAATGTCCTATTCCCTTCCTTAGTCTTACTACTCAAACCACCTCAAATCTGGCTAACCTCAAAACGGTTCTGTCGAGTTGGAATGTCTACTGCTGTCAAGTCAGACAAGGATTTGAACTGTGCATTGGTGTGATCCCTGAGGAAAGTCAACACTGGGATGATTCCATCAGGATGGATACAGATCTCCAACTCATTGAAGCAGGTCACCTATAGACAGGGAAGAGGGAAGACAAAGCCATTAGGGAGCAGCTAACTTTAACTAGACTTAGTTTAAGGTAGAGAAAGAAGCTTGGGCTTGGGATGAAACCTATGGTTTCTTTCAAGACAGACTGCCCATTCCCATATGCCCTGAGGACATAGTTCTTTCTTTACCCAGATCTAAGGACACTAGAGAACATTACCTGAACTTGTTGAACATACTTGGGCAGGATTTCAGCCACATATTCTCCAAAAGCTGACAGTTGCTTGTGGATTACATCATTCTGTTGTCTAACAGTGGCTGGAAGGAAAAGCATATTTATTTTTTATTTTTTTTTTTTTTTGGGTCCGGTCACGGGGCCTGAACTCTGGGCCTGGGCGCTGTCCCTCAGCTCTTCAGCTCAAGGCTAGCGCTCTACCACTTGAGCCACAGCGCCACCTCTGGCTTTTTTTCTCTTTACTTATGTGGTGCTGAAGAATCGAACCCAGGGCCTCAGGCATGCAAGGCAAGCGCTTTACCACTGAGCCAACTTCCCAGCCCAGGTAAAGCATATTTAAGAAGGCAGCAACTGCCGGGCACTGGTGGCTCACACGTGTAATCCTAGCTACCAGGAGGCTGAGATAATGAGGATCACGGTTCAAAGCCAGCCTGGGCAGGAAAGTCTGTGAAACTCTTATCTCCAGTAAACCAACAGAATACTGGAAGTGGTGCTGTGGCTCAAGTGGTAGAGTGCTAGCCTTGAGCTGAAGAGCTGAGGGATAGCGCCCAAGCACAGAGTTCAAGCCATATGACCGACCAAAAAACTCTCCAATAAACCACTAGAAAACCGGAAGTGGCGCTCTGGCTCAAGCAGTAGAGTGCTCGCCTTGAGCTGAAGAGCACAGGAATAGTGCCCAAGCCCAGAGTTCAAGCCCCATGACCGAAAAAAAAGGAAAAAAAAAGAAGGTAGCAACTGCCGGGCACTGGTGGCTCACATGTGTAATCCTAGCTACTCAGGAGGCTAAGATAATGAGGATCACGGTTCAAAGCCAGCCTGGGCAGGAAAGTCTGTGAAACTTTTTTTTTTGGGGTCCGGTCGTGAGGCCTGAACTCTGGGCCTGGGCGCTGTTCCTCAGCTCTTCAGCTCAAGGCTAGAGCTCTACCACTTGAGCCACAGCGCCACTTCCGGCTTTTTTCTTTTTGCTTATGTGGTGCTGGGCAATCGAACCCAGGGCCTCATGCATGCAAGGCAAGCACTCTACCACTGAGCCACCTCCCCAGCCCCGTCTGTGAAACTCTTATCTTCAGTAAACCAACAGAAAACTGGAAGTGGTGCTGTGGCTCAAGTGATAGAGTGCTAGCCTTGAGCTGAAGAGCTGAGGGATAGCGCCCAGGCCCAGAGTTCAAGCCATATGAACGACCAAAAAAAAAAAGGCAACAACCATCCCTGTCTTTAGTCTCTAGGGCTGAAAAGATGTTATTTCAGTAGGGTTCCTTGAAGAATCTTAAGAATGGCTCAGGTGGTGAGTCCTTATTCTAAGGATTAGGAAGTGGTGAAAACTTGGGGAAAATGTTAACTCATTTCATAGAACACAGGCTATTGGGCTGGGAAGGTGGCTCAGTGGTAGAGCGCTTGCCTTGCATGCATGAGGCCCTGGGGTCGATTCCTCAGCACCACATAAGCAAAAAGAAAAAAGCCAGAAGTGGTGCTGTGGCTCAAGTGGTAGAGCGCTAGCCTTGAACTGAGGAGCTGAGGGACAGCGCCCAGGCCCAGAGTTCAGGCCCCACAACCGGCCCCCCCCCCCAAAAAAAAGAACACAAGCTATTGTTACTGCAGCTGGGGTCTTTGCCTTTTCTCAAAATTATTCCACATTGCTTCTCTCAGATTTCCTATACTTGTAAGACAGCACAGTCTACTCTCTAGCAGACTAGGATCTCTTTAAGGTCAGGATGGGACCCAGGGTTCTCAAGCCAAGAACTTCAGGCTGAAGAGCCCTCACAGATTATGGTCCTGAAAACACAGAATGTATATGACTGTGTGTATGTTAGGAAAATTAAAACTCAGAAGGGGTAGAAAAGCAGGCCTTCGATAGTCCAATCTGCTGATGTTAATTGTTAGGTTTCCCGGGAGAACAGCCCCTCCCCTCTTCCAATGGACATAAAGAACGACATTTAGAGTCACTAGTGATCATGTGATCCTAAATCACTGGGTACACACATATCACAGCCTGGGGAGTAATGATTAAGTGTTCTTTCCCTCGGCAGACCTGCCATTCTCAAGGTCTGTAGCTGGGCAGTTTTACTGTCTGGATTGTTTCCTGATCTACAGGCAATAAACTGCTACCCACCTCATAACAAATGAGATTATTCGCTACAAGGCTTCGTGAGATACCAGCCACACAGAACGCAATTAATGGGAATTACTACTATTCCTGAGCTCTGAGGCCCAAAGTTCTGCTTCCTGTGCTCAGTGCGTTAACCATTTAATCAGAGAAAACGGGAGTCATGAAAACTGAGAGGGGACAATACGGCCCAAACGGAACAGAGATCTAGGGCAGAGAGGGCTCGATTCTGCCTGTGGGCTAGCTCTCCAAGGCCAGACCCGGGGAAGGGCATTCGGGGCAAGGACAAACACGGGACGAAGGAGGCCCTGCGGCGGTCGGAAGCGCGCGGCGCGCATACTCACGGCGCGCGTCGGCCGCGGCGCTCTCCCGCCTCACGCGCTGCAGCAGCACCGAGGGTCGTCCAGCCCCTGCACAGGGAGACAAGTGAGAGGGCGCGGGGCGAGGCCCGGGGGCGCGCCACCTCCACCCCGACCCCGGTCCGCGCCAGAGGCCGGCCTCTCACCCCTGGCCACAGCTGCGGCCCCCGCCAGCCCGCGCCTCCAGACCACGGCCGCCGCGGCCGCCATGCTTCCCGGACGCAGAGCCGGCGGCGCAGGGAAAGCCGGTGGGACGGGACGCGGAGCCCCAAGGACACGGACCGGAAGCGGAAGTGTGCAGTGTATGTTCTTCCGGGCGGAGAGGGGGCCGGAAGCAGAGGTTCCGGGTTCCTGGCACCGGGATGAGAGGAGGGAACGCAGGTGAGAAAGCAAGACCAGCAGGTGGGAGTACAGTGAGGCGGACGTAGCCCAAGCTCGGGGTAGCAGCAGCTGGAGAGAAGGTGAAGACGTTGAGGAATCGAACCGGTGAGACCAGGAGGGGAAAGGGACGGGCATTCGGCGCTGTTAGGTTCCACACCCCTCCCCCGCTCCGCCCGCTGAGCTCTCGGTGGGGCGGGCGAGCCAAGGGGCTTGTGGGGGAGAAAACGGTTTCCCTGGAGACCGTTTCCCTGGCGACTCTAGATGGTCTGGGACACCCTTCCAACCCGAAGGGCGATGGTCCTCCTTGTGCCTGGAGCTGGAGACAGTTGGGCTCTGTCTCAAGTTCTGGAATGGACCTTCAGGAAATCATTTGGGCGAGCTGGTAAGTGGGGACAGAAACTCAGAAGAGAGCAAAAGTGAGGTTGTTGGTTGACCCAGCCTAGGCCTCATATTGGAGGTGCTGGACTCCATGTGGAGAGAGGGAGAAACCCATAGGGTGTCTTTTTTCTAATGTCTGGTTTTGCTTCCCTAACCTAGTGCAGTCTAACCCTCAGCTTCACTATTTTAATGCCAAGTTATTTGGTTAGAATGGCTTTTTAAAAGACCATAGACGAGCTGGGAAGGTGGCTCAGTGGTAGAGTGCTTGCGTTCCATGCATGAGGCCCTGGGTTCGATTCCCCAGCACCACATAAGCAAAAGGAAAAAAAAGCCGGAAGTGGCACTGTGGCTCGAGTGGTAGAGCGCTAGCCTTGAGCTAAAGAGCTGAGGGCAGCGCCCAGGCCCAGAGTTTAGACCCCACGACTGGACCCAAAGAATAAATAAATAAATAAATAAATGACCATAGACTTTCTCCAGGCCCTTGCTTACACATGTTGACCTAAATCTTAAGTCTTTTGTTACATCATGGGAAGGAATATTTAGTGTTCTCTCGGGGAAACCATCAGTTAGAACTTTATTGATTTCGTTGGAGGAGATCTGCCACTTCAGGAGAATGAAAGCAGCTCTGAGTGAAGGAGAATGTCAGGGACACCAATGGCAGGGCCAGGCCTAAGGTCAGTCTGGACCCACTTTGCTCATACATTTAAACACTTCTCCCAGCTGTATTCACAGACTATAGCTGTGGATTCCTCAAATTCCTTAGAGTGGTTATTGCTTTTCAGATAACTGGAAGAGAGAGAAGTTGGCTACCATGGAATCACCAGAGGAGCCTGGAGCATCCATGGATGAGAATTACTTTGTGAACTACACTTTCAAAGATCGGTCCCACTCAGGGCGAGTGGCTCAGGGCATCATGAAACTGTGTCTAGAGGAGGAGCTCTTTGCTGATGTCACCATTTCAGTGGAAGGCCGGGAGTTTCAGCTCCACAGGCTGGTCCTCTCAGCTCAGAGCTGCTTCTTCCGGTCCATGTTCACCTCTAACCTGAAGGAGGCCCACAACCGAGTGATTGTACTGCAGGATGTCAGTGAGTCTGTTTTCCAGCTCCTGGTCGATTATATCTACCATGGGACTGTGAAACTTCGTGCTGATGAGCTGCAGGAAATTTATGAGGTGTCAGACATGTATCAGCTGACATCTCTCTTTGAGGAATGTTCTCGGTTTTTGGCCCGCACAGTGCAGGTGGGAAACTGCCTTCAGGTGATGTGGCTGGCAGATAGGCACAGTGATCCTGAGCTCTACACTGCAGCCAAGCACTGTGCCAAGACCCACCTGGCCCAGTTACGGAGCACAGAGGAATTTCTCCATTTGCCCCACCATCTACTCACTGATATCATCTCGGGTAAGTTTAATAGGGGACATACCCAAATGTTTGGGTATAATGTTCAGTGGATGTTCCGGTTCAGGAGAAAGGAGCCCTCAAGTTTCCTGTTGACAGTTTACTATTTGTAGTAGGAATGTAGAGCTGCTGTCAGAGATAGAGTTTCTTAAAGAAGCAACCTAGAAAAGAAAATGCCTCACATTGCCACAAAAGACTGAGAGAAGGTAGCTAATCTGTCCTATGCCTAATTGCTCTTATCTGTCCTATACTTTGCATTTGTCTATAGGACTAGTTATCTAAGTAAGTTGACAAAATTATCCTTTTTTATTTTTCCAGCTGGGAGTGTAGCTCAATTGGTAAAGCACTTGCCTACCAAGTGCAAGGCCCTGAGTTTCAGAACCTTAAACCACTAAAATAAATGAATGAACAAATGATTTTTTTTTTTATTTATTTATTTTTTTTTTTGTCGGTCGTGGGGCCTGAACTCTGGGCCTGGGCGCTGTCCCTCAGCTCTTCAGCTCAAGGCTAGTGCTCTACCACTTGAGCCACAGCGCCACTTCCGGCTTTTTTTTTTTTTCTTTTTGCTTATGTGGTGCTGGGGAATTGAACCCAGGCCCTCATGCATGCAAGGCAAGTGCTCTACCACTGAGCCACCTTCCCAGTCCCATTTTTATTTTTTTTTTTTAAATGTAATTTTATTTTTTTTTTTTGAACATACTGTACAGAGGGGTTGCAATTACATGGGCAGGATAATGCGTACATTTCTTATCAAGCATTGCAGCCTCCTCCTTTGTTTACCCTTCACATCCCTTCCCTTCCTCCCTATTTTTATTTTTTTGATGATGGTTCTGGGCTTGAGCTCAGGGCCTGGATGCTGTCCCTGAGCTTTTTTGGATGCTGTCCCTGAGCTTTTCTGCTAAAGGCTAGAATTTTACCACAAGCCACAGCTTTACTTCTGGCTGCTTTTTTTTGGTGGTTAACTGGAGATAAGAGTCTCAGGGGTTTCTTGCCTGGGCTGGCTTTGCACCATGATCCTCAGATCCCAGCCTTCTGAGTAGCTAGGATTACAGGTGTGTGCCACAAATGAAATGTTTTTAATGATGGGATGTTAGGTAACATTGTGAGCCTGCAAGTGAGATGTAGCCATACTTAAAGTGTTAAGTTCTGCAGCCTTGTAGGTTGCTTCCATAACATGTGGAAGCATTTCATGCTATCCATATTATTTGAGTTTATTTTTGTGGGTTTTTTTTTATCAGTCATGGGGCTTGAACTCGGTCTGGACACTGTCCCCTCAGCTCTTCAGCTCAAGGCTAGCACTCTTTTTTTTTTTTTTGGTCGGCCATGGGGCTTGAACTCTGGGCCTGGGCACTGTCCCTCAGCTCTTCAGCTCAAGGCGAGCGCTCTACCACTTGAGCTACAGCACCACTTCCGGTTTTCTGGTGGTTTATTGGAGATAGGAGTCTCACAGTCTCTCCTGCCCAGGCTGGCTTTGAACCGCGATCCTCAGATCTCTGCCTCCTTAGTAGCTAGGATTACAGGTGTGAGCCACCAGCGCCCGGCTAAGGCTAGCACTCTTATCACTTGAGTCACAGTGCCACTTCCAGTTTTCTGAGTGGTTTATTGGAGATGAGTCTCATGGACTTTCCTGCCCAGGCTGGCTTTGAACCCAGATCCTCAGATCTCAGCCTCCTGAGTAGCTAGGATTACAGGCATGAGCCACTGATGCCCAGCTAGTTCACATCCTTAAAGCCATTTTCCCTAAGTTTCCCTTTCAGATGATCAAATTGCCACTGACTGTGCCTTTCTTTGGCTCTCACAGATGGGGTTCCATGTTCCCAGAACCCCACAGAAGCAATAGAAGCCTGGATCAGTTTTAATAAAGAAGAAAGAGAGGCTTTTGCAGAATCACTTAGGACTAGTTTAAAGGTAAGGTAGATTTGTTATAAATTGGGGTACCAATGCATTCTAGCCTGGCCTCTTTGGTGCCAACTGAATAAATTGGCTTGAAGTTGCTGAGCTGGAGAGAAGATTGTGTTTGTGACTCCAGAAACCACCATCTAGGGGCTGGGAATTGTGGCTTAGTAAATTGTAAAAATCAAAATATAAAATTGAAAGGATGAATACAAATGTGCTCTGCCCAGCATAAAATGCCTAAAGTTAGGTGATTAGAAGAGAGCAAGTATGACAAACAGTAACTGGAGGGGAGTGGTTAGAGCAAGATGTCCGAGCTGAGCCTTCACCACGAGCTGACATGGCATTTATCATTTTAATCTGGCCAACAGGAAATTGGGGAGAACGTGCACATTTACCTTATCGGGAAAGAGTCATCTCGTACCCACTCGTTGGCTGTGTCCTTACACTGTGCAGAGGATGACTCCATCAGTGTAAGTGGCCAAAACAGCTTGTGCCACCAGATCACTGCAGCCTGCAAGCATGGAGGAGACCTGTATGTGGTGGGGGGGTCCATCCCACGGCGCATGTGGAAGTGCAACAATGCCACCGTTGACTGGGAGTGGTGTGCACCTTTGCCTCGAGACCGGCTCCAGCACACCCTGGTGTCTGTGCCTGGGAAAGATGCCATATACTCCCTGGGTGGCAAGACACTGCAGGATACTCTCTCCAACGCAGTCATTTATTACCGGGTAGGTGATAATGTATGGACAGAGACAACCCAGCTAGAGGTGGCTGTGTCTGGGGCCGCTGGTGCTAACCTCAATGGAATCATCTACTTACTAGGGGGTGAGGAGAATGACCTGGACTTCTTTACCAAACCTTCCCGACTAATCCAGTGTTTTGACACAGAAACAGACAAGTGCCACGTGAAGCCCTACGTGCTGCCCTTCGCAGGCCGCATGCACGCAGCTGTACATAAAGATCTTGTATTCATTGTGGCTGAAGGGGACTCCCTGGTGTGCTATAATCCCCTTCTAGACAGCTTCACCAGGCTTTGCCTTCCTGAGGCCTGGAGCTCTGCCCCATCCCTCTGGAAGATTGCCAGCTGTAATGGGAGCATCTATGTCTTCCGGGACCGATATAAGAAGGGGGATGCCAACACCTACAAGCTCGACCCTGCCACTTCAGCTATAACTGTCACAAGAGGCATCAAGGTGCTGCTTACCAATTTGCAGTTTGTATTGGCCTGAGACAGTGATGGAAAAGAAAAGCTGATTCCTTTGTCCTTCCCTTTTCCAGCACCTCCCTTGAACCTCAATTCAGAGTAATGTGTTAGTTTGGACGTACAGTAGAAAACAGCACTTCCAGCCTGGCCCTAAACCCATAGGGATGTTCTGTTTGAGACTTAGTAGACTGTTGCTCCTCAGCTGGCTGCTTGAACCGAGGTGGCCATCCTATGATCCCGTGCCTCACTACAGATTGCTTAGAGCCAAGTTTCTCTCTGACCTTAGGCACAGCTTCCCCTCCTTACCTGATCAATGTTAAATAGGAGTTGCCCAATCCCAGGGCAGAAAGATGCCCATTCCTTTTTTTCTACAGCCAGCCAAGTGGCGAGTTCAGTTATACACAATTAGGTATTAGAGTTTTCCTTCAGGCTTTGGTTGGGAGAATGGACTAAGCTGAAGGTGTTCTTCACCAGCAAGACTCAACTCTAGAATTCAGGACGTTCTTTCCATTGTTTTTCATCTGTCTGTCAGGAAAAGTAATTTTGGTTTTATTTTTGGCTTACTTCAACAGATAAGCCAGGAAATAGAATTATTTCTGATTAATAGCAGAAATGTTTTCAAAACTGGTCTTTTAAAAGCTCTAGGCTAAATCAGGAGCTAGAAACTGTTCATACAAATAAAAGTTTTTGAAGAGATGTGTGTTTGTCTTTATTGAATCTTGAAGGGATGGCTTTTTTTTTTCCCTTGGTCATGGGATTTGAACTCTGGGCCTGGGTGCTGCCCCTGAGCTCTTCAGCTCAAAGGTACCACTCTACACTTAAGCCATAGCACCACTTCTGGTTTTAAGAGGTTAATCGATGAGTCTTATGGACTTCTTGCCTGGGCTGGCTTTGAACTGCGAGTCTCAGATCTCAGTCCCCGGAGTAGCTAGGATTACAGGCATGAGCCACCAGTGCCCAGCTGAAGGGATGGCTTTCTAAGGAGAACTAATTATAGACCCGTGCAACCTGTGCATTCCTAAATCAGCAGGCCTCCCTATATCCACACATGATTTGCATTCTGATCTCCAAAAGTGGGAGGGGAACCCCCAAAGTCAATGAAATTGGGACTCCACTATCTTTTCTGTAGTACTACAGATCACACTCAAGAACTCACATGTGCTAGGCAAGAATTTTGCCATTGAGGGACACTCCTAGACCTAAGGGCCAAAGAGCCAGAGCTGGATATTTCTTTCTAGTATTAAATGTCTGAGTTATGGTGCTAAATATCATTAGGTACACAGAGGATTCTTGTTGAGATTAGTATTTCTTTTTTTCTTTTTTTGGGTCTGGTCATGGGGCCTGAACTCTGGGCCTGGGTGCTGTCCGTCAGCTCAAGGCTAGCACTCTACCACTTGAGTCACAGCGCCACTTCTAGCTCTTTTCTTTTTGCTTATGTGGTGCTGAGGAATCGAACCCAGGGCCTCATGTATGTAAGGCAAGCGCTCTACCACTGAGCCACTTTCCCAGCCCTGAGATTAGTATTTCTTTTCTTTTTTTTTTTTAATTTTTTTTTTTTTTTTGGGTCCGGTCGTGGGGCCTGAACTCTGGGCCTGGGCGATGTCCCTCAGCTCTTCAGCTCAAGGCTAGCGCTCTACCACTTGAGCCATAGCGCCACTTCCGGCTTTTTTCTTTTTGCTTATGTGGTGCTGGGGAATCGAACCTAGGGCCTCAGGCATGCAAGGCAAGCGCTCTACCACTGAGACACCTTCCCAGCCCGAGATTAGTATTTCTTTAACCTATTGAGGAAAATTAGATTCAGACACAAATCTTTTCCTCAGGAAAATGAAATGACAAAAGAAACAAAATTACCCATTACTAAGCATATTTCTGTTACATCAAGTTTGGCTTAAACTCCATCATTACTATAAAATTTATTCTGTATCAAGCAGGGACATCTTGAGTTTTTGATGTGTTAGATCTGTGACTAGTGTTATTTTCTGTTGCCCTTGCAGAAATCTCCTTGTGGAACTTTTTAAGAACTTCCAACTGGCCAGGTCTGATGTAGATGTGTGACCGGATCTTGGTGATGGCTCCTATAGCCTCTTCTGGGCTCCAGTTGTGCATCTGAAATACAAAGTCACGAAATCAGCCAAGAAAGGGAGAGGGCATCAGGGTGCCCTTGACTTTTAAGCAGGTGTTGAAAGATTCACAATGTTACAACTTTTGTGGGGCTTGAACTCGGGGAACTCGGGGCCTGGGTACTGTCTCTGAGCTTTTTGTTTTTTTTGTATGTGCCAGCCCTGGGGCTTGAACTCAGGGTCTGGGCACTGTACCTGAGCTTTTTTGTTCAAGGCTAACACTCTACCACTTGAGCCACAAATCCACTTTTGGCTTTTTTGTGGTTAGTTAGAGAAAAGACTCACAGGCTGGACCCTGCTGGCTCACACCTGTAGTCCTAGCTACTTGGGAAGCTGAGATCTGTGCATCATGGCTTAAAGCCAGCCTGGACAGGAAAATCTGTGAGACTTGTCTCCAGTTAACCACCAGAACACCAGAAGTGGAGCTGTGGCTCAAAGTGGTAAAGCTCAGGGAGCTTTTTTGCTCAGCACCCATTTGCTGAGTTGAAGCCCCGCAACCAACAGCAGGGGGGAAAAAAAACACCTCTCACAGACTATTCCTTCCTGGTTAGCTTTGAACCACAATCCTTAGATCTCAGCCTCCTGAGTTCCGAGCTAGGATTACAGGCATGAGACACTGGTGTCTGGCTCATAATTTCATTTCTTTTTTTTTTTCTTTTGTCAGTCATGGGGCTTGAACTCTGGGCCTGAGCGCTGTCCCTCAGCTGTTCAGCTCAAGGCTAACGCTCTACCACTTGAGCTACAGAGCCACTTCCAGCTTTCTGGTGGTTTATTGGAGATAGGAGTCTCACGGTCTTTCCTGCCGGGCTGGCTTTGAACCATGATCCTCAGATCTCAGCCTCCTAAGTAGCTAGGATTACAGGTGTGAGCCACCGGCGCCCGGCTTCACAATTTCATTTCTAAAAAAAAAGGCAGGGTGCCAATCGCTCACATCTGTAATCCTAGATACTCAGGAGGCTGAGATCTGAGGATCGTGGTTCAAAGCCAGCCCGGAAATAAGTCATGAGACTCATCTCCAATAAAAACCACTAGAAAACCGGAAGTGGCCCTATGGCTCAAGTGGTAGAGCGCTTGCCTTGCAAGCTCGAGGCCCTGGGTTCGATTCCTCAGCACCACATAAGCAGAAAGTGGTGCTTGTGGCTCAAGTGGTAGAGCACCAGCCTTGAATTGAAGAGCTGAGGGACAGTGCCCAGGCCTAGAGTTCAGGCCCCACAACTGGACCCCCCCCCAAAAAAAAAAAAAGCTGGTGTTGGAGATTCAGGTCTGTAATCCTAGCTACTTAGGAAGCTGAGATAGTGGCAGCATAAGGCTAGCCCAAGCAGTAGTTTATGGCCTTGAGTGAAAAGCTAAGGGACAGCATCCAGGCTCTGAGTTCAAGCCCTAATATTGGTACTCACACACACAAAACAAACAGAAAAAAGTTAATCAGACCCCTTCTCAATGAAGAGCTGAATGTGAGCACCTCTTATCCTAGCTACAGGGAGGCCTCATGCCTAGGCAGGAATGAAGAGCCTACTGAAAATAGAGAGCAGCTAGCCACTGGTGGCTCACCCTTGTAATCCTAGCTACACAGGAGATCTGAGATCTGAGGATTGTGGTTCAAAACCAGCCTGGGTAGGAAAGTCCTAAGACATTTCCAATTAGCCACCAGAAAACTGGAATTGGTACTGTGGCTCAAAGTGGTAGAGCACTAGCCTTGAGAAAGAGATCTTAGGGACAGCACCTAGGCCCCAAGTTCAAGCCCCATAACTGACCCCACCACCACCACAAAAAAAAAAAAAGCAAAAAGTCAGGGCTGGAAGGGTGGCTCAATGATAAGAGTACTTGCCTAGCAAGTATGTCAAAATGAGTACAAACAGTCCAGCCAACCACCAATGGCTCATATCTGTAATCCTAACTACTACTTGTGAAAATGAGTACAAACAGTCCAGCCAACCACCAATGGTTCATATCTGTCAGATCTGACAAATGCAGTTCAAAGCCAGCTTGGGCAAGAAAGTCCATGAGACTCATATCCTCAATTAAACACCAGAAAAAGAACTGCAGCTCATAGTGGACAGCTAGCCTTGAGCAAAGAAGCTAAGGCACAACACCTAGGCCCTGAGTTCAAGCCCCAGAAAGTCTTCTTCCAAATAAAAATCCAGGTATGTGCTACTCAGGAGGCTGAGATCTGAGAATTGTGGTCCAAGCCAGCCTAGGCAGGAAAGTCCATGAGACTTGCATCCCCAGTTAGCCACTAAAAAAAGGCAGAAGTGGAGCTGTGGTTCGAGTGGTAAAGCATGAGCCTTGAGCAAAAGAAGCTCAGGGACAGAGCCCAGGCCCTGAGTTTAAGCCCCAGAACCAGCATGCACACACACACACACATTTTTTTAATGAAACACCTTTGCAAAATTAATGTATACTAATTAAAAAAAAAAAAACTAGGAGAGATCAGAGTTTAGCTCAGTCATGAAGTACATACTTAGGAATACCCAGGTCTTGGGCTCAATCCCCTGCGCCCTCCAAAAATAAATTTCTAGAAGCTAGATGTAGTGCTATAACAACAATACTAAGAGGAGGCTGAGGTGGGATCATGAACTTGAGGACCAGCCTGGGCTATACAGTTCCTCCCAGACCTTCCCCTCAAAAAATAAAATAGTTTCTAGGGGTGAGTATATAGTAGATATTTGTGACTCATTGCACAGCTAGAAAAGAGCTTTTTAAGTTTAACTATCAGAGTTATCTTGGTGGTGGAGGTAGGGCTTGAACTCTGGGCCTGGGTGCTGGCCCTCAGCATTTCAGCTCAAGGTGAGCGGTCTACCACTTGAGCCACAGCACCACTTCCAGTTTTCTGGTGGTTAATTGAAGATAACAGTCTTTCCTGACCAGGCTGGCTTTGAACCGCAATTCTCAGATCTCAGCCTCCAAAGTAGCTAGGATTACAGGCCTGAGCCACCAGTGCCCGTCTAGCAGAGTTATCTTTATATTCTACAGTGCTCAGTAGTTTAGAATTCAATAGGACCTCAATAGCACAAATTTCTAGCTTGCTGGTTCGATTCTCACTTGGCCCAAAATATACTCCTGAGACTATTTCTGGCAGTTTCTTACAATGAAAACTTCCATATTGTTCAGTCATATACTAGTCCACAGTAATAGGCTAAGCTGATGATCATTCTTCCTTTTTAGGGGTGGGAAATGTAAAGCCTACAGGTCATATAAGGCTCACAAAATCATTTAGTAGGTGGAGTGGGGAGTAGTTGTGGGGGTGGGAGAGAAGGGAGGGAAGGAGGGAAGGGATGAGAGAGAAAAAACAAAGGAAGAGGCAACAATGCTTGTTAGGAAATGTACTCAATACCTTGCCCTTGTAACTGTAACTCCTCTGTAAAGTATTCCCCTCTATACAGTATTTTTACAATAAAAAACGTACAAAAATTCATTTAGTACATACAGTGTATATTTTTTGTATGTCTCTTATCATCTGTCCAAGATTAATCTGTATTGATAATTTCATATGGCCTGAAAATAATACTATAAATACTGAAATGACCCTTGGCAGCAAATAGTTCCCCATCTCTTTAGAGCTTAAATTATCCACAT